GGTGATAGGTGATTAACAATGTTGTATTACAGATGTACAGTGAAGTGATTTAGTTATACAAGTATCTATTCGTTTTGAAATTCTTTTCCCGTTTAGGTAGTTATACAATATTGAGTACAGTTCCCTGTGCTATACAGTAGGTCTTTGTTGGTTATCCATTTTAAATATAGCAGTGTGTACATTATATGTGATGAAAACTCAACCATTAAGAAGAATGAAATAATGCCATTTATGGCAGCATGGATGGACTTAGTGATTGTCACTATATACTGAGTGAAATAAATCAGAAAAGAAAGACAATTATCATAATGATATCACTTATATGAATCTAAAAAAGATACAAATGAACTTATTTATAAAACAGAAACAGACTAACAAACTTAGAGAGTGAATTTATGGTTAGCAGGGAGGAAGGATTTGGAGGGGGTGGGTAGTTAGGGGTTTGTCATTGACTTGTAAACACATCCCGTTCTGTTCACTTCTCTTCTTGCTGCTGTCTGGTCAAGTCATCACTACCTGTTAACTGTCTTCCATCTTTGTCTCTTGTTCCTTAAAATCCATTATGCACGCAACTACCAGAGTTCCAGAGTAACTTTTTAAAAACGTACATCATATCTTATGTCTACTCTGTGTAAAATTTCTTAATGGTTTCTCATAATATGAAAAATCAATTCCAGGTTCCTTACTTTGGCCTGTAAAGTCTGACCCTGACCAACTCTTAAACTTTATTTCCTTCCAACATTCTGAGCTACAGCTTCATTGACCTTTACTGTTTCTGAGCCTCTCCCAGCTCATTTCTACTTCATGACACGCTTGGTATATTCTTCCTCTGGGTCATTTTGCCTATTTCCAGTCTATTCAACTCTCAATTCAAATTTCAACTCTTTAGGTGTCGTCTACACCCAACCCCAGGCTTCCCAGGTAGATCAGTCGTATAGAATCCCCCTGTCAATGCAAAAGACACAGGAGATGCAGGTTTGACTCTTGGGTCGAGAAGATTCCCTGGAGTAGGAAATGGCAAATCACTCCAGTATTTTTGCCTGGGAAATGCCATGAATGGAAGAGCCTGGTGGGCTATAGTCCATGGGATCATGAAGAGTCTGACATGACTGAGCAGGAACATACACACCTTTCTTCTCCAGTCTCTATCTTATAACTTCACTTTGTCTTCACCATTGAACTCACCTAGTATTTCCCAGGGTGTGTAGTGTCTTCTCAGGGACCTATAAATCTTTCTTCACTACTGTATTCTTAAGGACCAGAAAAGTTACTGGCACACAGTAGGTATGTAATAAATATATTAAATGAATGAATGAATGTTGGCATTCACATCTGTTTGGCATCACTTATGCACACTTCAAGGGCTAGCTAAAATTTTAGACCTCGTTCATACTTAATCATTTCTTGTTCTTAATCATTTTGTTTTTATTGTTTCATATCACCATATCAGATACAACTTTACTTATTTAAATAGATTCATTTTTCAAAGTGTGTATTCAAGGTAGGCTACTCAAAACTTGGCCCGTCAACCAATGCTTATCATAAATTGTTACTAGTGTGAAACAAAGAAAAAACAAACAAACAAAAACAAACAAAAAAAGTCACTGGGAGAAAACATGTACAAGCATTATTGAAAGTTACATCATATATCTGTTGAATTTAATACTCATGATCAGGTTTTGTATTTTGTATCTTTGTTTTTATGTTATTTCTTAAGTATTTCATTTTATCATACTTCACAAATGTATTGACTATTATAGTTGAGAATTTTTTTAAAAAAACTTTTAACTTTTTTTTTTTTTTAGTTGGAGGCTAATTACTTTACAATAATGTAGTGGTTTTTGTCATACATTGACATGAATCAGCCATGGATTCACATGTGTTCCCCATCCCGATCCCCTCTCCCATCTCCCTCCCCATCCCATCCCTCTGGGTCTTCCCAGTGCACCAGCCCAAAGCACTTGTCTCATGCATCCAACCTGGTCTGGTGGTCTGTTTCACCCTTGATAGAATACTTGTTTCAGTGCTGTTCTCTCAGAACATCCCACCCTCGCCTTCTCCCACAGAGTCCAAAAGTCTGTTCTGTACATCTGTGTCTCTTTTTCTGTTTTGCATATTGGGTTATCGTTACCATCTTTTAAAATCCCATATGTATACGTTAGTATACTGTAATGGTCTTTATCTTTCTGACTTACTTCACTCTGTATAATGGGCTCCAGTTTCATCCATCTCATTAGAACTGATTCAAATGAATTATTTTTAATGGCTGAGTAATATTCCATGGTGTATATGTACCATAGCTTCCTTATCCATTCATCTGCTGATAGGCATCTAGGTTGCTTCCATGTCCTGGCTGTTGTAAACAGTGCTGCGATAAACATTGGGGTGCAAGTATCTCTTTCAGATCTGGTTTCCTGGGTGTGTATGCCCAGGAGTGGGATTGCTGTGTCATATGGCAGTTCTATTTCCAGTTTTTTAAGAAATCTCCACACTGTTCTCCATAGTGGCTGTACTAGTTTGCATTCCCACCAACAGTGTAAGAGGGTTCCCTTTTCTCCACACCCTCTCCAGCATTATTGCTTGTAGACTTTTGGATAGCAGCCATCCTGACTGGTGTGTAATGGTACCTTGTTGTGGTTTTGATTTGCATTTCTCTGATAATGAGTGATGTTGAGCATCTTTTCATGTGTTTGTTAGCCATCTGTATGTCTTCTTTGGAGAAATGTCTGTTTAGTTTTTTGGCCCATTTTTTGATTGGGTCATTTATTTTTCTGGAATTGAGCTGCAGGAGCTGCTTGTATATTTTTGAGATTAATCCTTTGTCTGTTGCTTCGTTTGCTATTATTTTCTCCAATTCTGAAGGCTGTCTTTTCACCTTGCTTATAGTTCCCTTTAAAAACTTTTAACTTTTAACACAGCTAATTTCAGAAGCACTAATTCAAACTCCCTTTCTTTAGAAATAATAAGATAGCAAATATTAACTATTTAATAAGACTGGAGATATCAATTTATCACACATAAAAGTAGATCCCAGTTTTCCTTGAGACATAGTGATTTGTTTATGTGAAGAAGAAATAGTGAATTTAAAACATTATATTCAATAAAATCCTGAATTTAAAACATAGGAAGGAAATTAGGGAAAATGCCTCTGGAAATAATCTTTTACCCTTCAAATAGTCATCATTTAATAATAAAGCCTATTTGAAAGCACAGAGTAAGTTGGATCAATACCAGTAATAACCCTCTGACTAAGCGGTACTGTTTCACAAGAGTTGAGCAGAGAACAGGTTGATGAGCAACTGAAGCAGGATCAGAAGGAAATGTCAGGAAGCTAAGCCTCCAAGCCCAGACCTGTTCAAATTCAGTCTCTAGATTGTTCATCAAGACATTTTCAGTTCTCATCTTACCAAAACCTTAAGTAAACTAATTGAAATAGCTGAGAAAGTTTCCTAATAGAGCAGTTCTTCCTCCAATAGTAAAGAGATGTCCCAATTATTCCGTTGTTAAGAGACACAAACCTTGGCCACTCACAGGGATGTCTGTCTCCTTTGGACTTCTCAGTTCTGGGAGGCTTTCATCCAAGTCTGGCCACAGTGACTACGAGACAAGAGTGGCAGTAGATATGAGCCTGTCTCCTGTCAGCAGTTATCCCGACATACTTCCACTTGACATCAACACACTTCCCAGAGGCCGCCAAAGAGCCTCTGCTGTAATCATTCTTGGTCACTACCAATTTGGGTTGGATTTGATTCAGTGACTTAGAGGTGAGAGGCTCCATATTCAATTACCAGGCCCCCAGCTTCCTCAATTAATCAAAGACTGACATAATAGGTCTATTACAACTGTTAAAGAAAAGACCAGATCCAATCAATATCATCACTTTATAACCATAAAAAGAAATTAATATTCTTTATTTAAATCTGAAAACCAACACTGTGGCATTTAAATGAACTTGGTTACAATGCATTTCATCTAGAATTTTACTATGGGAAACTTGAACTTATTTAAAATGATGATCAGACTATATACTCTGAGTTTCTAAAGCAGCCTTCTTTGGAGAAGCTCAAGCATTTTCCTGTTTATTTCACTGTTTATCCTGCACCATGGTTTGATGTCTTTGTAATTTGAGACAGGGTTTATCTGGTCCAAAGGAATGCTGTGAAACATTGTAACAATCATGATGGCACCTCTGAACTGCTAACTAAACCGGGATCTCTTATCTGTCTTTGGATCACGAAGTCCTAACTGAGTCAATGAAAAGGTGAAATTTGAAAGATCATAAAAGAACCAACAGTGAGGTTGCAAATCACTAGCAGTTAAGTGATTGCAAATATCTAAAGCAATAAAATGCTTCTGATGCTAAGGGACAGCCATATAAACCCAGAGGAAACTACTGGAAAAGTCAAAAGCCAGCTAATCTAATCTGAACTTTTGGTGACACTATCAACATATATAAAGTCATTTGAAGAGTTCAAAGTTTAACCTTATGTCTGAAATTCAAGGATAAAGTCAAAGCAGAGAATCTATTTCCTTTCATCTACATGTCAAAATAAGAAACCACCTTCTACCTGACAAGGAAAGTGAGGATTATTTATATGGCAATTTATATTAAAAAAAAAATAGCACCAGTTCTTTGTGTTAAGGCTGTAAAAGAAAGTTCAGGTTGTCTCATTCATTAATGTGTTAAAGTTAGAGGCTTCTGAGAGATTCTGAAATCTTTTACTTTGGTGCTATATTTTGTCACCTTTCTTCCCTTTTTAATATGCTTCCATTGATCTTACCTTTTTCATTTTTTACCAGCTGTCAGGCACCACCTTGGGCTGGTCACCAGGATGCCAGAACCCTCGTCAGAAGTTTGTTCCTTTGAATTCAGCCCCTTGGGTGCTAAAATCTTCTCACCACTGCCCTTCATCCTTACCATTGTCATCTTTCTGATAGATATTTTGGAAAACTGAAAAATATTCCTTTACTAAATACATGGTACTTCCAATTATCTGCAGGTTGCTCCCTCCTGACAACATTCAGGGTGTTTGTTAATGCACTGAAAACATGTTGTCTGCAGTATTGCCACCTTGGCGGAGGTGTGACAAGCTGGTTGGGCCATGCCAAGGAAAAAAATGGCGGTCGCTACAGTGAGCTCCTTGTGGAAGACACAAAATTTTTCTTCAACCTTCTGCCACTGTTTATTTTTCATCTCCTCTACAAAACGTGCATTATGAGGTGAGGAAAGATAATCAAGACTACCCACAGAAACAGTAAAATGATTGCGTGATAACATTACAAGTAGACATTTCTTTTCACCCCAACAAGTGCTTCCCATATACTTTGTTAGGATGTTAACTTATAAATGCTTCTAATCATTACAGGCTCTAGCTTTTAAGGACTAAGTGGCGTCAGGTATAAGCATTCCAGAGGAGGATCTGAGTGCGGCATTTTTCCTGTAGAACTGCAAGTGTCTGTCAGTAGGTGCGGACATAGCAGGCAGCACTTTACAGAATTTCCAAGGCCTGTGAGTGACTCAGAAGAATATGAGATCTATGGGCAATTATGGGCTTCTCAGGTGGTGCTAGTGGTAAAGAATTCACCTGCCAATGTGAGAGATGTAAGAGATAAAGAGTTCGATCCCTGGGTCAGGAAGTTCCCCTGGAGAAGGACATGGCCTCCCACCCTAGTATTCTTGCCTGGAGAATCCCATGGACAGAGGAGCCTGGTGTGCTATAGGCCATGGGGTCACAAAGAGTCAGACATGACTGAGTGTCTGAGCAACAAAAATGGAGATAAATTAACTTTGGTTTCCTCTTTGATCAAGCCTTTAAAAATTGGTATTAACAAGTAGCTAAATTGGCTGATTCAGTTATGAAGAAATATAAATGATTATAAAAATCTTTGAAGAAATTTGAAACTCTTCATTGCTAACATCTAACTTGGAATTAGATGGCTAATGAGTGAGTTAAATCATAGAATAGTAGATTCTATGATCTATAGATCTAGAAAAAAATCTTAGAGATTAACTTACTCAATTCCTTCATTTGTTGAAGAGGAAACTGAGGCTTGAAAAAAATTAAGTGATTTGGGGTAAGTAGGTCAAACAGTGAATAGTAGTGAAAGAAAAGGCAGAATCTTATCTTCTGACGCTTAGTACAATGCTTGTTCCTCTAAACCAGGGGTCAGCAAATTACTGCCTGCAAACCAAATCCAGCCTACTGCCTTTTTCACATATCCTGTAAGGTAAGAAGGTTTTTGCATTTTCATATGATTTTTAAAAATTAAAAAAAATATTTTGCAGCACATTATAATTATAATTGGGTGCACAATTATAATTATAAATTGTATGAAATTAAAAATGAGGTGTCCATAAAAAAACAAAACAAATTTATGATTACCAAAGGGAAAGGGCAGTAAGGATAAATTAGGAGCTTGAGATTAACATATACACTCTACTGGGTGGCGCTAGTGGTAAAGAACCTGCCTGCCAGTGCAGGAGATGTAAGAGACGCGGGTTCAATCCCTGGCTCGGGAAGATCCCCTACAGGACAGCATGGCAACCCACTCCAGTATTCTTACCTGGGAAATCCCATGGACAGAGGAGCCAGGCAGGGTATAGTCCATAGGGTCGCACAGAGTCGGACACTGCTGAAGCGACTCAGCATGCATGCAATACTATAGATAACTAACAAGGCCTTACCTAACGCAAGGAACTACATTCAGTATTTTGTAATAACCTGTAAGGGAAAAGAATCTGAACAAGTGTTGGGTTGGCCAAAAAGTTCATTTGGGTTCTTTATAACATCTTATGGGAAAACCTGAATGAACTTTGGCCAATCCAATATATATAGAGAGAGAGAGAGAGAGGATGAAGTAAAGTGAAAGTCGCTCGGTCATGTCTGACTCTTTGCAGCCCCATGGCCTATACTGTCCATGGAATTCTCCAGGCCAGAATACTGGAATGAGTAGCCTTTCCCTTCTCCAGGGGATCTTCCCAACCCAGGGATCGAACCCAGATCCCCCACATTACAGGCAGATTCTTTGCCTGCTGAGCCACAAGAGAAGCCCAAGAATACTGGAGTGGGTAGCCTGTCCCTTCTCCAGCATATCTTCCTGACCCAGGAATCAAACTGAGGTCTCCTGCATTGCAGGCAGATTCTTTACCAACTGAGCTATCAGAGAGCCCCCATATCAGACAGCCCCACCTGAAAGTAGCACAACGTTATAAATTAACTCTACTTTGATTAAAAAAAAAAAAAAGAAAGTACAATTGTTAGAAAAGAATAAGCATAGGATTTCTCTTTGGTTAGGCGTTCATAAATACAGTTTTATTGGAACACAGTCTTATGTTTGTTTGTAATAGTATGTCTGTTTATGCATGCAAGCAGCAGAGTTGAGTAGTTACAACAGAATCCACATGTGGAAATATTGTCTATCTGGCCTTTTACAGAAAATTTTGCTGACCCTTGTTCTAAACAATGCATGAAAACTAGGCTGATTTAGTAGATTCAACCTCTCTCTTGACTCCACAATAGTAGATGGTGCAAAAATACAAAAATACCACCTCTATATATGAGCATTAATATTATAAAAAAAATCTTAGAGTGAAGAAATTAATCATGAGTACAAAATTGCTAACTGACCCATGGAAAGCCTTGAACCTTCTGTGTAAATAGCACAAATTCTTGATTCTTACCCTCATAATGTAGTGACTCCTACTATTTCTTTTGACTAAATCCAGCCCTTCTCTGCAAACTGTCATATGTTTTAAAATTTGGCATAAATTATAATAAATTTTGATAAACTAATTTTTATATATCACCAAATCTAGATGCCTACTCTGTTGCAAAGAACAAACACTAATATCATTGACCACCTATATGTGGCATAGCCTTTATTTTTTTTTATTTTTTTCATTTATTTTTATTAGTTGGAGGCTAATTACTTCACAACATTGCAGTGGGTTTTGTCATACATTGACATGAATCAGCCATGGAGTTACATGTATTCCCCATCCCGATCCCCCCTCCCACATCCCTCTCCACCCAATTCCTCTGGGTCTTCCCAGTGCACCAGGCCCAAGCACTTGTCTCATGCATCCCACCTGGTGGCATAGCCTTTAAAGGAGGACTTCACAGTGTCTTAAGTCAACCCCTACAGCATGCCCTAGGACTGATTTTGTTATCCTAAATCTGAGTCTCAGAGACATTAAGTGACTTGCAAGTTGCTCTTGGTTGCCCTACTAGCAATATGGCAGCATGGCTGTCCCAACCTAGGGCAGGTATCCGTGCCAACACTTTGCTGTTACCAACTATGCCTCTCTTGCATCTGGGTTAAAAACCCTTATACAGGGTTTCCCTGATGGTTCAGTGGTGAATAATCTGCCTGCCAATACAGGAGACATGGATTTGACCTCTGATCAGGGAAGATCCCACATGCCTCAGGGCAACTAAGCCCATGCACCACAACTATTCAGCCTGTTCTCTAGAGCCAGGGAGCCACAGCTACTGAGCCCACATGCCTCAACTACGGAAGCCTGGGTGTCTTAGAGCCCGTGCTCCACAAGAGAAGCCAGTGCAATGAGGAGCCCGAGCACCGCAACTAGAGAGCAGCCCCTGCTCGTGGCAGCTAGAGAAAAGCCAGAAAGCAACAAAGACCCAGAGCAGCCAAAAATATAATAAATAAATAGTTAAAATTATATTTTTTTGAATCCCTGTAGACGGAACTCCCTGGGCTATCCAGTGGTTAAGACTCTGTGCTTCAACTGCAGGAGTCATGGGTTTGATCCCTGGTCAAGGAACTAAGATCCTGCATGTCAGGCAGTGCAGCCAAAAATTAATATTAAAAAAAACCCTGTACAGACTATACAAGTTCCAAAATCATATACAGTAATGTTATACCAGAAACTCCAAAGAAAATGGTTAGAATATACTTCTCAAGGGAGGCAGATGAAACTTCCACTGGGATAGGCTGGTGTTAGATTTTTGCCTCCAGATGAAATAATCACCAGTATAAAGGAGATCAAAGCACCAAGAATAAAACATCATAGCATGCCATATTTTAAATTTAGTAGCAATTATTGACCTTCAGTTCCAAGACATACATTTAAAATATGTTGATATTAAGGCTGATGATGTTGCCATTTGACATTACTGGCCATTCAGAGGTGAAAATGAATCTCTATTGACAGCAATTATTCCTGAATACTCAGAGGCTTGTATGAAATAAGAGTATTTAAAATTTTAAAAGGAGATGATTTCAGAACTTGAGGCAGAAGCAGAAATGATTTCAAGCTTTCAAGACATCGGAGCCTTTTCTTAGATTAGGCAATCTATGAATATTGCTTCACTAAAGATTAATCATACATTTGCCACATTATTAAGTTAACAGGTTTCTGTGTCTGTGATTCATGCTGATAATAACTTTATTCCTATTAACAATAATTCTCGTTTGAAATCAGTAACGGAAACTTCCAAGTTGTGCTGTGAGCCTCTCAGTCTTAGAGGAGCTCTTCTGCCAGCACTTTTTCTTTAAAAAAAATCATTCATTTTCCTCTGATTAAGGAAGGAACTTAATATTTTCAAGGAACTAGGGCAGAACTAGCTAATGTTCCCTTCTCTCTTGCTGTCTTTACCCAACTATAACAATCCGGTTTACTATCCCAAGGGTCAAATTCAAGATCGGAAGATAAATTATCACCAGAACGTATTTTATATAGATCAACAAAAAAAAATCTCAGTGAAAATGTAGTCCGTCCCTGGGTGGAGGCAGTTAACAGAGCAATAGGCTCATTTTATAATCGGTGGGCTTGTTAGCAACAGCACTGACTTATGACTCTGCTTCTCCTGATGCTTCTCAAGTTGCACAACTGATAATTAGAGGAGGAGATAGTGAAGGTTTCACACAAGAAGTTATCATCTGGGTGTTTGAGCCAGGTTGCTCTCCCAGGATGGGAGGAAGGCAGGAATCCTAATGAAGTTCACACACTATAAGAAAAAAAAAATGGAAAATCCATTCCTTAAGGACAGAACTCGGGTTGACTTTCTCACCAAGCCAATTAGTAGGTTTGTGTGCCACTGGGAATTAAAGAAATACTCTGTGCTGCTGGTAACAATGGCAAAGATGTGATTGCTGCAACAAAGCTCATGAACTCTAAAAGTGAGAAGATACACCTTTCCTGTGACACGACGCTTTAGTTCTGACCTAACAGTTATAACCTAACGGAAGGTTTGGAGCGCTTGAAGGGACCCCAAGTTAATGTCAGAGTTTTAGTTAGTATTAGAATTTATTTTAAAAATCAAATCCTGGCACTATGTTGAGGGTTTGCAGTGGGGCAGAGGTATTGTTAGTTGTTGTAGGTTTTTGTATGTTTGTTTTTAATTTCTTCTACTTTATTGTGCAACTTTTTTTGTGGAGTTCCCTTTTTGGTCCTCTAGTGCTTCACAGTTAGTTTGAAAGGAGAATATAGACACGTCTGTTTTCTCTCTTTTTTTCTCATTTTACTTGACATATTAAAAATGAGACCAATCCAGGGAGCCTATAAAGATAGCCTACATCAAGTAATGGGTTTCTACACTGGATCCCTCTTCTTAGGGAAAAATCATTCTTACTTATTTTGCTACCACACTCAATGCTATTTAAAGGATATACTAGCCACAATCTATTGTTTATGAGTAAAAAGAAAGTCTTAATACTTTCTGCTGGCTTTTGCTTTATTGTTGGGAAAAACAAAAAACTTTACTTGCTTATATGCAGTATTTGTTACTTGATTTCTTATGTGTCATCTGAAGTACAAAATTAGGGTCTCTGTTACTTTTCCAAGGAAAATTAAGAGGAAAGACTAGATGACAAAAGATTCATCATAAAGAATCAGTAGCATTGTCAATGGACTAAACAGGTCATAATCATGACCTCGAAGACGTGGGGAACATCCAGCTTATCTATCACAGAGTACAGGCCAGGGACAAAGCATCTGCCACAGGAATCTTCCTCTAAAGTTAAACCACTGTCTTTTTTTTCTTTTTTAAAATCATTTCATTTATTTATTCATTTATTTTGGCCTCACCATGGGGCATGTGGGATCCTAGTTCCCCAACCAGAGACCAAACCCACAGACACTCCCTGCATTGGAAGCTCAGAGCATTAGCCACTGGACCACCAGGGAAGTCTTAAACCACTGTGTTAATGCATGGCTCTTTCCCTGTTGAAAAGCAGATTCCTTCAGGATATTATCTGCAGACCGTGAATTCCAATCTTAATCTGCGTGGATCGCTTCTGCCAGTTTCAGTCATGAATGTCGTCAGTATCCTACCACTACTCATTCTGGCTCCTTTCATGGACTATTTCAGCACCGGCCTGCTTCCCTCTAAGAGAGATGGCTCTTTTCTGTCAGCATGCATTCGTAAGTACAACTTACCATTTCTAGTCAGTGGTTTGCAACTTTTTTTAATTGGAGGGCAATTACTTTACAATATTGTGTTGATTTCTGCCATACACCATCATGAATCAGCTACAGGTATGCATATGTCCCCTCCCTCTTGATGCTCCCTGCCGTCTTCCACACCACTGTATGTGGCCACAGAGCACTGGGTTGAACTTCCTGTGTCACACGGCAAATTCCCACTGGCTGTCTGTTTTATGTATGGGAAAGTATATGTTTCCATGCTACTCACTCAATTTGTCCCCCCACTCCATCCCACACTAAAATAAGAAATCCTGTACAAGGCTCTAAGTTAGCTATGTGCTCTGGAGTAGAGTCTGATTTTGACAAATTAAGAAGAAGGTACATTCAAGAGTACTGATGTCCAGTTTCTTAAGTCTCTACATGGACATCAGCGTTCCATTTTCTTCCTATCCTTTTATGCTTCTCAGAAGACACACCTGCTATAAAGACTCGGTGAAATTTTCAGTGCCACCAAATGGCCTCTCCTTCTTCACGTGAAGCAGTCTCTACTCCTAAGTTAATGCTGAAAATGTTTTTAAAAATTAACACAGGTAAGCAATAATACTTGGGAGGAATTAACTTTTGAACCAGCAAAAAAAATTATTACAAGTTAGTACTGTGACTCAGTTTCAGTACAGTACTTCTTCCAACAGTAAGGTGTGCAACAATAATTTTCAGTTTTTCCACCTTGACATAAACGTTGTTGTTCAGTTGCTAAGTCGTGTCCGACTCTTTGGGATTTCATGGACTGCAGCACGCCAAGCTTCCCTGTCCTTCATTTAAAATTTTAATTTTTTAAAAATCATAAATAGCTTCATGGATCTAAAATTTAATGTACAAATAAGGTCAACTTATGTTCATATATTCTCTCTATTCCTTTGGGTGTCCATTTACATATTCTTAAAGAATTATCCTCCCATTTTTAAAATAAAGATCCAGTTGTTCAGTTGTGTCCAGCTCTTTGAAAGCCCATGGACTGGAGCATGCCAGGTTTCCCTATCATTCATTATATCCCAGAGTTTGCTCAAACTCATGTCCATTGAATCGGCCATGATATCCAACCATTGCATCTTCTGTCATCCCTTCTCCTCCTGCTCTCAGTCTTTCCCAGTATCAGGGTCTTTTCCAATGAGTTGGCTCTTCACATCAGGAGGCCAAAGTATTGAGCTTCAGCTTCAGCATCAAGCCTTCCAGTGAATATTCAGGGTTGATTTCCTTTAGGATTGACTTGTTTGATCTCCTGGCTGACCAAGGGACTCTCAAGAGTCTTCTCCAACACCGTAATTCAAAAGCATCAAATGTGTAAGTTTAAGGTACACAATGTTATAAATTGATACCATTCTATATTGCAAAATATTTATGACAATAAGGTTAGTTAACACATCCTTGACCTCATATAATTGCTACTTTGTTGTTATGCTGCTGCTGCTAAGTCACTTCAGTCATGTCCGACTCTGTGTGACCCCGTAGACAGCAGCCCACCAGGCTCTGCCATCCCTGGGATTCTCCAGGCAAGAACACTGGAGTGGGTTGCCATTTCCTTCTCCATTGCATGAAAGTGAAAAGTGAAAGTGAAGTCGTTCAGTCGTGTCCAACTCTTAGAGACCCCATGGACTGAAGCCTACCAGGCTCCTCCATCCATGGGATTTTCCAGGCAAGAATACTGGAGTGGGGTGCCATTGCCTTCTCCTTATTGTTGCTATCATCCCCCCTTAATTTTTAAAGTGAAAAAAATTTAGGACATCTTACACAGATCCCATCCCTGGATCAGGCAGATCCCCTGAAGAAGGAAATGGCAACCCACTCCAGCATTCTTGCCTGGAAAATTCCGTGGACAAAGGAGCCTAGTGGGCTACAGTTCATAGGGCAGCAAAGAGTTGGACACGACTGAACACTGACCTCATATTATTACCTTTTTGTTGTTGTTGATATGGTCTACTCTCCATTTTTTAAAGTGAAAAAAAATATAGGACTTCTTACTCAGAACACAATCTGAGTAAAGTAAAATTACTTTTCACTTAAAGTAAAAAATAGAGCATAAAGTAAAATTTCTGCCAATGAAATGGGAGAGGAGGAGCATTCTGGTGACGTTCTCCTCTGTCTTGCTGTGGTCCCCCAGGCATTACCATGGAACAAGAGGACAAGCATTGGAGCAGGAAAACCAAGCTCATCTAATGACCAGAGATTGGGGTCTCAGCCTCTGCTCTGCTGCTGAGCTGTTCCTGGGTGACTGGGGAAAGCCACTTAATTTTGTCTTCTAGTTCACTTTTTTAACTGAGGTCCATACCTGTGATAAATGTTGGAACCCTTTGTTCTGTAAAACGTTTGAAATCATTCAAGGTGATAATAGTGCCTAGAGCACAGTTGGGGCACAAAGTGGAAGCTCTATAAATATTAGCTGATACTGAGTCATCATTTGCAAGGGCAGGTCTAATTGTTTGGTGAGGATAAACAGAAAGCTCAGTTGTGTCCGACTCTACGACCCCATGAATCACAGCACGCCAGGCCTCCCTGTCCATCACCAACTACCAGAGTTTACTCAAACTCATGCCCATCGTGTCGGTGATGCCATCCAGCCATCTCATCCTCTGTCGTCCCCTTCTCCTCCAGCCCCCAATCCCTCCCAGCATCAGGGTCTTTTCCAATGAGTCAACTCTTCGCATGAGGTGGCCAAAGTATTGGAGTTTCAGCTTCAGCATCAGTCCTTCCAATGAACACCCAGGACTGATCTCCTTTAGGATGGGCTGGTTGGATCTCCTTGCAGTCCTAGGGACTCTCAAGAGTCTTCTCCAACACCACAGTTCAAAAGCATCAATTTTTCGGCGCTCAGCTTTCTTCACCGTCCAACTCTCACATCCATACATGACCACTGGAAAAACCATAGTCTTGACTAGATGGACCTTTGTTGGCAAAGTAATGTCTCTGCTTTTTAATATGCTATCTAGGTTGCTCATAACTTTCCTTCCAAGGAGTAAGCATCTTTTAATTTCATGGCTGCAGTCACCATCCGCAGTGATTTTGGAGCCCCAAAATATAAAGTCTGACACTTTTTCCATTGTCTCCCCATCTATTTCCCATGAGGTGATGGGACAAGATTTCCTGAGTATAAGAAATCTTAAATTCACTTGAAATATGAGCACTTTCCCTTGGACAATTCTCCAGTCCCACATATTTGAAAGCATGTCTATTCTTAAAGAAGTGTATGTGTTTTTCTGGAGAGAGAAAAGTTAGATAGAGTTATCTAATATATTATTTGATGTTAATGAGCTAAATATTCTCTGTGAAGGTTGGTAACAGACTTAGTGGGCAGGAAGAAAAGGAAAAAAACTAGATTCATCTAAAAACCCTGAGCTATATCCTTCTAAGCACAAATTACTGAATTCAATTGTTTCTAAGCCAGACTCCATTTATTTGTTCATTTACATACTTGCTCACTTATTTGCATAATACTTTGCTCTGGGGAAATAAAAAGGTGTGATGATATGCATCTTTTTAACTAGATGTTTGCTTAAGTTTTCCATATCTTGCTTGTGATTATGGAAGATTAATAAGTTTTTATCAGGACATAGAAGCATAAACCTAGGGTACTTTTTGATAGTAATTTACATAACTGAATTAATCTAACATTAAAATTTACTTTCACTTTGAACCTAAGTGCCTTGAAAATGTGAGTGAAGTATGTAAGTAAATAAATTATGAACAAACAAATATTTATGAATTCCTCATTTGAACCTGGACACCTTCCTATGCGTATCTCACTTAATCTCATGATAAATCATCATTTACTAGGTCAAGGATCTCAAAGATAATGTCTTATTTGAATTCAGACCTTCTAATTCTAAGGCTGTGGTTTTATTACTTATTATTATTATTATTCCACTTACTAGCTATCTATAGTTCTTTTTTATTGGAGTATAATTGTTTTACGATGTTGTGTTAGTTTCTGCTCTATGACGACGTGAATCAGTCATGTATATACATATATACTCTCTCTGGAGTTTCCCTCCCGCACCCCGACTCCACCCCTCTAGGTCGGTCATCACAGAGCACCAAGCTGAGTTCCCCGTGCTGTACAGCAGCTGCCCACTAGTTACGTGTTTCACACATGGTAGTGTGTATATGTCGATGTTACTCTCAATTCGTCACCCCCTTTCCTTCCCGCCCTGCGTCCAAAAGTCTGTTTTCTACTTCTGTATCTGCATTCCTCTATTCCCCTATTCCTGACCTGCAAATTGATTAATCAGAACCATTTTTCTAGACTCCATATATATACATTAATACACAATATTCATTTTTCTCTTTCACACTTACTTTACTCCTCATGACAGGCTCTAGGTTCATTCACATCACTACAACTGACTCAATTTTGTTCCTTTATATGGTTGAGTAATATTCCATTATATATGTGTATCATATGTTCTTTATCCATTCATCTGGATTTCAATTATAGACATTATCAATGTTAATTTGGAATCCTTACTGCTATTTCCAGTCAAGGCTATGAAGTAAATGAAAAATCCTTCTGCCATCACAATGAGTTGGTCTTTGAGGTTCCCCACCTCCCGTTCACAGCCAGTCACTCCCTGTCCAAGGACTGCCATGTTTAAGGAGGCAGCTGGTGCCGATGCTGCGATGCCTAGGGTTTGACAAGGATAATGAGAGGCCAGGCCAAGAGTGAGGGACAGAGAACTCTCATTTGTTGGTCGAAGTAGAAATTTAACAAAGGAAAAAAAAATGAGTTGCTTTTCTTTATCTAGCTCATAACAATGCAAGGAAAGAGGGGTTTCTGATTGAAGATAGGACATTCTTGAGTTTATCAGCTAAAGAAATTAACAAGCATATGACCGTACCAATGATAAAAAAATCTCTGAATCTTTTAGAACTTGGAAGACAAAGGTTTGATACACACAGTGTTTCATCAAGACTGTATTTTCCTAACATTTAATTGTTACAATTTA